TGGACAGCCTGCCTGCTGGCAATTTCCTCATTACATCTCTGTCAGCCAGGATACAGGCCAGACCCTCCTGTTTTCCTGCATGTAAGCCCAGGAGAGAACTGGGGTAAACTCAACTTTTAGCTGACAAAAGGACCCTTCCACCAGCAGGATGGAGAGGGCAAGGGAGCTCCAGTTTTCTTCAGCTGTCCTGTCCTGCCTCTGGGGAGGCTTATTTCCGTCAGAGAGAATGAAAGCATTGCCATGTGTTTTATTTTCAGCTCTTGGTAGCTGAGAGTGGGCAACTCCTTTTCCTCTGTAAAGGACAACTTTAGATGACAAGTCCCAAAGTAAATGAGAAACTCCTGTAAAGGAGTTGGCCTGTTGGCATCTGTTTCAGCTGAGAAACCTGTGGCAGAATTATGTCGGTCCTGCACAATCTGTAATGCTGCAGTGAGGAACGCCCGTAGTACTTGTAATTATATTTGCCACATGAGGCCAGTCAAAGAATAGCTTTGCGCTTTTTAGGTGCCAACTGCCTAATCCTGGGCTTGACCAGGACACCAGCCTGGGGACCTGGCCCTACAGCTCTTAGGGGGCAGCCTCCATCACTAAATTTTGCTAGCAGTTTTGTGACTCCTGTAGCAGGACCCCCTAATTCTCCCTTCAGCACAAACCTTCAAATAGCCACTACAGGCTACTGCAACAAAAACGCTGCTGTGTGACATGGCAAGCGCAGGGATGCTTTGTCCCACTGGGAGCTCTGCTGCTCTTCTGACTGGCATGGAGTACTCAGGCCCTGTGACGACTCCCGGGACACATTCCTCCTGCAAAAGATGGAGGCCCTACATCTTTCCTGTACTGCCTCTAAGAGCAGCACTAATTTGCTGACCTTCTTGTACAGGGACATGCTTGTTCTCTGCACCTGTCCTCTCCCTCATCCTAGTTGTGATATACCATCATGGCCCAAATGGCTCTGAAACTCCTTGCTCAGGAGGCACCACTTGAGGACAACAGCTTTTCTCTGTCTGTATTTAGGTTAGATGTGCTGTCTGTATGATTTATGGGATTCTGACACAGCTTCTGAGCAGCCCTGTTTGCCACTTGTTAGGGTGGAGAATCATCAATAAAATGCCAGTGTGTGGCCAGCTGTAGGAGCATGCCAGCAGCTTGCATTTCTTCTGTGTGGCCTAGGTGTGATTATTTGTAAAAACAGATTCACACAAAGACTGCCTGAAAATTCATTTCACACACAAGTTACACAGCGATATGTTACAGCTCTTAAGGGTGTGTTTTCAGAGCAGAGTTAACTGTCCGGTTGCTTCTGCTCTCTTACAGCTGACACAAAAAAAAAAAAAAAAAAAAGATCTCTAATTTAGGTAAGATGTGCTTAAAATTGAGGACTGCAGGATTTTTGCTGGATTTAGAATAAGAACTAGAACTCTGGTGATGGCATATTGCTTATGCTGAGAAAAATCTCAGCTAGGTTGAATGGACTGAAAATGTGTTAATCTGAATATAGATAAGGAAAGTTAGTGCTGTTTTAAAGATATCTTCTCATTTTGAAAATGTAGCTTTGAGTGATTACAAAAAGTGATGTTCCAAAGCAGTACACTTCAGAAATTGGGAGAGCCTGTTGGTTTTATTCAGTGGTGCAGCTACAGGCGGATTGAGCAGATAGCATCATCTGCCATCAAAGTTGTTTGTTTCTTTTTTTACCCTGTGGCATCCTGTGCTAAGCTTCTAGCAGTTTTTCCAGAACTTCATGATGAAGACTGAAATATTTCAAGTGAGCTGCCCAGCATAGCATAAGCTGTCTTTGGAAAGTTTTAGTAAGAGTTATTCTCTCTTTCTGAGAACAGCTCAAGGAAAATAGGTGATATGCATCACTTGGGAGCAGTGCTCACTTTTTGCTCGAGGCAGTGTAGAGCCACACTTACACAAAGCTTTACCACAGCATGACATTCTCTTGAGAGGACCTCTGGTCTGCCTATGGAAGCTGTATGCCTAACTCATTTTAAACATAGGAAGGAAATGTTTTGTGAAGATATGGTTAAATTATTAAAGATTGTTTTGTAATATAGATTAGTTTTTGGTCTGTCCTGATAATTTTGACTGTTTTAACTTGCAATATCAGTTTCCTTTTATCATGGGTGTAATAATTTTCTTAGCAGGATGCCAGTACAGAAGGCTGGTAAATGGTCTAGAAAAATTACGTTCCCTGCCCTGAAATGTTTCTGTTTCAAAGGCAGAGGGGTGTACCATGTAGCACAGGAAAAACCCAAGCCAAGCACATGAGGCAGATGGATTTCTTTTGGGCCAATTTTTGGCCAATTTTCCAGCACCTGCAGAAGGCGGCCTCTGTTAAGGAAAGCACAAAGGTGCTGAGGCACATGGAGAAGAGTTGGGTCCTGGCATCTCTGGAGGGAGAGCTCTTTATAACATAAAAGGTGAAAATAGTTAAAAAAAGCAAGTAGTCTCTTGAAGAAGAAAATTAGATCTAGAAAATCTGACTTACAGTGAAACAAAATGTTGTACAGGAAGTTTTCAAGCAGACCTATTCAGAAAGAGTAATAGCAGTAGACTGGACCATAGGTAGCATGCAGAATATCTGTTTGGCGAGAATAGAGGGAGTAAGAAACAAGACAGAAGCGAAACTCCAGAAACGCCAAATTTCACTGATTTGGATGGAAGAGGGAACAATCTCTAAAACACGATTAATTTTGTCATTTTATTCTTAGATAATTTTACTGAAAAGTTAAGGGAAAAAATATTTTTCTCTTTAATCTATCTTCTTGCATCCTTTTTTTTGAAGGTTCGTACAAAAGATCGTGTCTTTGACAGCATAAGTCATCTCATCAATCATCATCTCGAGAATAATTTGCCAATAGTTTCTTCTGGGAGTGAACTCTGCCTGCAGCAGCCTGCTGAGAGGAAACACTGACTCCAGATAGCTATTTTACTTTTTGTAATACGAAAGCTATAATTGGTTAAATTGCAGATCTGAGAAAACATGTACATTAAAATGCATATTCACATATATTTCACCAGTATGTTTTCTTTAAGTTTAAGAAGCCCCATTTCACACGGTACACTTGAAAATTCTCAATGCTTTATGTAGACATAAAGTCACAGTAGAAGTCTTTCTTAAAAAGTAATTTCAATAAAATTGTTCAGATTCTCTAATGTGAATATTGATAGTGTATATATACACATTATATATATAAATACAGTATATATTTATATTTTTCAAGTCAGTCTGTTGATGGTATAGAACTATCTTCTGTGCCATGTGTTTTTACCAGAAGAAAAATGCCAATTGTGATTGTTCAGATAAAAATAGAATTCAGCAGTCTCAATTTCTTGAGAAAATAAATATTGGGAATCTTATTTCTGATTTAACCTAAGAAGCACAACTATGGGGATTACAGGTGGATTACACTGGTTAACCACGGAAGGAGTCTGAATTCATCAACTGGTATTCCAACTCGGAAATTTAGCATAAAATGATTTTTAAAAGTGTTTATTCTATGTCACTGATATCAAAAGCATTTTATCTTTCTGATGTCAAGTTTGAATTCTTATATGATGCTACTCAAAACATTTGTATCTTGCTTTAGCAATGATTTGGTGTGATCTCTGTGTATGAGGTATGTGCATTTTCTAATGATGATATAACAATATTCTGTAACTATAATTTATCAATTTGAGTGCTAAGGTTATTTATAAGTAGTTCTCTGCTGATGGTGAAGATCTAGGTGTCATTGCCTACCAGTCTCCAACAAGATGTTACATACCAATTAGGCAAGTTCAAATAACTTGTGTGTAACAGGTTTAATGCAAGATGTACATGGTTGTTCAAAGAAAATCTTTTCTTCTTATAAACAGTGAAAACTATCATGACTTAGTGATCAGTTTTGCAAATGATGCCATTTGCATTTACCTACCAAAGCATGATTTGACTTTGGCCTTCAGCAAATGATAGATCTTGCAAATATACTGCTTTTCTCTAAATATCAGGTTGAAAAATACACATACACTAAAAATGAATTTCTAGCAGAAATGCCCTTGGCTTTTAGTACTCGGGAATGTTTTAAGGAAGGTTTGTACTGTTCAAATGCAAGCACTATATGAAATTATCTTCCTATTTTATGAAGCTTATCAAGATCCAAATGCAATAGACACAGTTCCTGTAAAGGCAAAACTTGTGCCAGAGTCAGGATTTACCCTTCAGTGTTCCAAGGTCTCCTCCAGCACCAGTATCTCAAATAAAATCTTGAGACTTGATTCATGAAGTCCAAGACTCAGCAGGATAAGTCTAGGATAAGCATCTGTCTGCCCTGAAGTGGTCAATACTTAAATCTACTTTAAATTAGATTTGGTTTTAGGAATTTGCTAAGTTTAAAAATTTGTCAAACTACAGCCAAACTGACTGAAGGATTTACTAAGAATATATTCAGCTAGGATCATTGTATTAAAATTCTGAAATAATTTTCTTGTACTTTCTGCTTTGAAATACGGTGAGGTTGCAACCTTGGAAGTTTGGGTTTGGTTGGTCTCAAGAACAAAAATGATTGAGGCACCTAAGACTAACCATGTTATCCATGCAATAAAAATACACTTGATTCTGTAATCATGACATTCAGAAGCCAAACTGAGACATAGTGGGTGAACACAGTGCTTGTGACAAATTTTATTGCAGATACTTATTAGCTGATATTTCTAGATCTGGGTGGGAGCTGAGAGTAAAGGAAAAAAATTAAATGCTGCATTGCAACCCAAATTAATACGGCACTGAGGTTAGTAGAATTCTTAAAATTTGGGTTGTGTTTTCACCGGGTTTGAAATTGCAAGGGAATGTAAGGAGATCTGATACCCGAAAGCATTATCCATCAAAATCCCTTTATTTAAGAGCATCCATGCCTCACCATATTCCAGTTTGAAGTATCTCAGTTGCCACCTTTTTTGTCACGCATAACACTTGCCATTCCATGCTCCCACCTCCCTATAGCTATGACCTGGAAAGCTTTTAGTGTATCACTAACTATAAGAGAAGACGTCTTTTGTACTTTGAATGTTGAATATCACTTCAGTAAGAGCCAGGTGCCTAAGTCCCTTAGGTGCCTTCAAAAATCCCACCTGCTGCCTCTATCTGTTTTAGATTCATAAATACCCTGTCAGTGTATGCCTGGAAAAATGTGACAAGATACAGGTATATGAATGAAGGCACTAAACATATACTGAACTAAGTATCTAAAATTTTTTACCATTGTCCTAGCTGTAGCTTTAAACCTTAGCAGCTGCTTAGCTGCATGTTTTGGAAATTAAAGCAGGTGGCAAGGAGACACAAAATGAAACATCTTAACAGAAATATTAAATTCCCCAGACTATATTTCACAAACTCTGCCTCCAGGAAAATGTGGCTATTTTAAGCTGCTCTGTCAGCACAGCCATTTTGTCCAGCTCAGCATGCCCATTCATGATGTAAAGGTTACACATAGCTTGATCAGATGCATTTTGGTCCTAGGTAGTGGTAGCCCCTTTGGGCTGCAACAGTGCCCTGCTGCTGCAATAGGCCAGCAGATCCTGTCTGGCCAGGCATGATGATGGCCTCCGGGCTTTTGTAAGTTACTGGGAACCAAATGATCTCAAAGCTGTCCCGGAATGAAGGGCATATGGGCCAATCAATGCTCCTTTTGCAGATCCTGTCATTGTTTTTTGTACTGTCACTCTGGTAGATTTGGCTTTTCCTTATATGAAAATGGTGTAAAAACTGTATCGCCATTTGGATAGCAATTCCAAACCTGTTGTTGTTAGTGTCAAAGGCCATTTTACACTGAGCTCAACAAGAGCTAATTGAACCTGCTAGAGAGGCAGAGCTCCTTTCTGTGAGGACCCAACACTGCCAGCAATATAAGAGATGTATAAGTTATGAGATGGGCTCAAATGGTGTACAATTGGCTGAAAACCAGACAGCTGACAGCATAATTTGAGCCTTTTAATGTTTGCTTCCTGTTTTGAGTCCCCTCACCTTTTGTTTGTACTCTTTTTTTATGCAATCCCAGGGGCTGGACATTTGCTGGTGATAATTCAGTACCATGACTTCAAGAACTGGGATTTTACTGAAAGAATAATTTTACTAGACTCAATAGAAATCACTGAGATTAGACAACATTATGGTAGTCTTTAATATTTTCCCAGGGGATAGCTGAGAAGTTAGAACTGAAACTCTAAATATGCTGCAAGACTGTTTACACTGATTTTGAGTCCTATCTGATTACCAGTTTTGATTCCAGTTGTGTTGCAACTATGGGAACTATAAGCAATGAAAATGCATTCGATTCCTTTAAACAAAGAACTTTCAAAAGTGAACCAAATGCTTTGGATTAATTTTATTGCAGATCTAGCGTAATTATTAGGACAATAAAATTTTCCAGTGAGGCTGGCAGTGATAGACTGGACACTGACGTACAGTCATGTTCCCAAACTTTCAGTTATTTCAGATGCTTCAGAAGCAATGAAACCACAAGGTAGAAACTGTGATTTGAAAAATTAATTACCTTCTGACTTCAATGAGAGTTTGCTCAGAATGAGGACTCCCAGGTTCCCTTCCCTAATGCAAGGAGAGGATGTTCAAATTGGCCATCTTCCTTGGTGGAGACCATAGAAGTAGATGCAATTTGCACGGCTTACTGCCTGCCTTCCTGCCCAGGGCTTTGCACACACAGTAAGAATAGGTAGTTATACAGTAGCTTCCCCTCCACTTCACAGAATCATAGAATGGTTTGGGTTGGAAGGGACCTCCAAGATCAGCTAGTTCCACCCCCCCTGCCATGGGCAGGGACACCTCCCACTAGACCAGGTTGCTCAAGGCTCCATCCAACCTGATCTTAAACGCTTCCAGGGATGAAGCATCCACAACTTCCTTAGGCAACCTGTTCCAGTGTCTCACCACTCTCAGGCTGAAGAAGTTCTTCCTTGTATCTAGTCTAAATCTGCCCTCTCCCACTTCACATCCTACAGGGTTCACAATGGGAGATAACACCAGTTCTGTGAGACCTCTCTACTGCACATGTTTAGTACAAGGTTTAACGAAGGACGTAGTCCTGTGACCAGGATTTGAGTGCAAAATGTGCACTGTCACCAGAAGAAAATTTTTACCAACAGTCTGGTAAACGTCACCTGCCAGCACTAAATTTTCTATATCCTAGTTTCTTTCTTTTTCTCCTCTGTAGAATAATACACTCACATTTCTTATCATCATCGTCCCCAGGTATCATTTTGTGCAGTAAGATGAGGAGGATTTAAAAAATATATACTACAGTGCAACTGCTGCTGGCAAAAGTGCCAGATGCCAGCTACAATGTAGTCATAATAGAATTGATGCATATTTAGTTATTTGTAAATAGCAAATGCTCCATTTGAAAACTAGTAGAGTTTTGCAGCCACCAGGAAATGTGCAGCTCTGAAGGGGAAATTTGGAACTTGTGAACATTCAGACAAAAGGTTACAAATTCTGCTTTCAAGCCTATATTTTTGGCATCCAATGTCTATCTGAAGTAAGTGGGAGAACCAAGAAGTAAACTGTATTTGCCTAAGCAAAGTCTAAGCCGAAATATGAGATACACTTCCCATTTTATCTTCCAGACGTTCAAAATATGTCTGCATAAAATCCAAATTCAGATTTACCTTAGTGTACTGTCAAAAATATCTTGATTCGCATGGTCTTTTTGCTCCAACCTACGGTTGCACTTTCCACAAATCTATGCTTGCTCAAAGCTGTCAGGACATGGGCAAATTCCCACTAAAAGCTCTGTGCTCAGTTGTACTCATTCTACTCACTTGCACGCACTGTCTGAGGGCCTTGCTCACATCTGCATTGGATGCAGCTGGAATGAGGGCAGGCCTGTAGAAAAGATAACATGGATATACAATTTGCCTGCA